AGTGTAGTGACAGGACAAGGGGTAACAGGTTAAAGTTGAAGGACAGTCAATTTAGATTAGATGTTAGAAAGAAATTCTTTACTGTGAGGGTGGTGAGGTACTGGAAGAGATTGCACAGAGGGGTTGTGGATGCCCCATCCCTGGAAGTGTTTAAGACCAGGTTGGATGAGGCTTTGGGCAACCTGGTCTAGTGGAGGGTGTCCCTGCCTGCACCAGGGGGGTTGGAACTAGATGATCTTGAGGTCCCTTCCAACCCAAACCATTCTAAGATTCTATGATTTCTCATTCCTTCAGCTTCTGTTTGAAATCAACCTTAAAAGCACTTTTGCATCAGGTTTTTCAAAATATTTCATGAAGAAAATTTCAGAGAATGACTTTTCTGCCCCATTCTGTATCCCTTAAAGACACAGGTTCTGGAAGAAGAAAGTTACTAAATTCCCCTTGCATATGGCAAAAGTTAAATAGCCATTGCAACATCACTGGGAACTTCCATCTGCCACAGAGATCTGCATATTCTCCTGGAAAAAAAGTCACATCATAAGCCATTATTTTCTAGGGGGCAAAGATATTCAAAGGTATGCAACTGGTAGTTGGTCAAGCAGTAAAGTAAAACCAGACACAAAAAAATCTGGTCAAATAGATATGTGCCTTTCTATGCCCATTTCCCACCATACAGCCCAAGCTGGATTTAATTAATTCAAAATTTCTTATAATTCCATGTGCAGTTACATTTTCCAACTGCTATCACCTTTTAAGTCTGAAATCTAAAGTTCTCATAGTTGAAAACAAAATAACAAAAAAAGCAAATCAGATATAATACTTAGAATGATAGACTTCCAAATCTGTACATTAAAGGGCAGGATGCCATTCTTTGCATCACCAAAGCAGCTTAGAAGGGCAGGCACCAAAATCTGATCATTTTTAACAACGAGAAAACTTCATCTCCCTTGCATTGTAATGCTAAGGAATCAAAGTGTGTTCTTAAAGACAAGCTCCAACAAGTGATCATGGCGATTATTATTCCAATTATTCTTTGCCCATGTTCTAGTGGAGTTAGTATTGAGTAGTGTATTTAGATTTATTTACTGTCACTGTGCATGTAAAGATGACTCACCCCCAAGTGTGATCTCTTGTGCTTGGACCAAAATCTGTGTAAAATCCTAGTCTTTCCCCTAGCCACATTGTTGGATCATTGTTCCCAATGAATGGTTTAGAAGCATCACTCTCTATAATAGTGATAAAATCTGCACCTAAAATGGGGAAGAAAAAAGAAAGTATTTCCAAATTTATAATTGTGACCTATAAATGCAATTTATAAATTACTATATAATATCATTATTTCCCTTTTGATTACACGGATGGACACAAGTCCTTCAGGAGCCAATCAAGGCAAATCTTACACTGGCAACAAAGTCATGCCCAAACTTTCAGTCACTCTAGGCTACACAGCGTCTGATGGAGAGATACTTAGTGTCTGAATGCCACAGCTCCTCCCTAGTGCATAACGGGGCACACTTGAGACTCCACAGTACAGCTTACCTGCACATACCTAGTGCGGACCATTTCAAAAGCATTAGATGTAATGTGCATACACAGATTAACAGCACAGTAGCAAGTTACTGCTTTCAACTTCATGAGCAAGCGCTACACAGCACATCTGCACTTACCTTCATCTACAAAATCCTATTCTGCACCAAAGGCTCCTGTGCATGAGGGAGCAGGTTGCTGCTGCCAAAACAATTAATCAGCCCATAGCAAGCTAGTGTCAGCCCCCAGGCATAGTAACAAAACAGTTCCCAGCTCTGGTGAATTGTTGACCATCCACAGCCACCTCACTTTCTCAGGGCACTGTGATCCCTCTCTGTTTACATGTTGAGGTGTGGTTTTGTCAGGGGAACATGGCAGGTTCTCCTATATTTTAGCTGCAGGATACACAAAGAGCTACGTGGTCCCTTAAGGAACTGGCAGCTGAGAAGGACTTGCCCACACATGAAGGAAGGTGGGAGTCTGCAAGCTGGCCACAGGCTGGCTAAACCATCCAGGCTCAGCTCAAGCAACAGGTTGGTACGGCTGCAGCAGCAGCAAGTGCTCCCCTCCTGCCGTGCACCCCGTTGGAGTGCTCTCCTACTCTAGAAGGCAGATTCATCTGTCACCACTTATCTGCAGCCCTTCTATAAGGCATTGAGACCACTCCATCCAGCACTACTCTTGCCACCTAAAATTTTTTGCTTTTGAAATGTCTTATTTAGCACTATGAAAGCAATGTTAGCAGGGAAAATGGCAGCTCAGAGTACTTTTAAGTGGATTCCTAGATTTTTGTTTCTACATTATTAGCATATGTGCTGGCCATAGAACAATGACAGAAACCACTCAGTGGGGCTGATGGTGGTTCCCTTCAGGGCAGATAGGAGTTCCAATCACAAAAGCCTTTACGTGTTGCATCTTCACTATCCCTACAGAGAGAAGATGAGCCCAAGTAATGCACACCACCACACATTTAAAGACAACCCCTATGCTGAAGAAGTTAGCCACTCTTTTCTCCGTGGCTCTCAAAATCAGTTAGTCATCTTTAGCAGACAAATCATTTAAGAATCTCCGGCTCAACTCTGAATGCATTAATGTGTTTCCTGGAAATATTAATGTGGTATTTTATATAACAATATACATATAACATAAAACTTCAGAATACTGTTTCTAGCAATTGGGAATTAAGATTTATTCATTTATATTTCGGAATTTGCTGCCTTTTTGACTTACCAATTGCTTCTTTTAGAAGTGATACTTCATTACCACAAAGAAATGCTCAATGGACTTAACCAGGTAAATCACTTTTTCTCACATTCATGAATTTAAACTATAGGTACTAGAAATAAATGCATTCATTACAGTTCATAATAAAATATGCAAAGAAGCAATAAATACTCAGACATAAGCCATGAGCTATGGAATCACATATGTACAAGAACGCCCCAAATTTCAATTTATCAAACGTCCCAATTGTTTTCTCACATCGCTAGACAGCCTACAGACCTCAGCCCTCTGAACCTTTGGCCATGGGACAACAGAGTGAATGAGGCACAAATAGCCTGTTCCCTCTTCTCCAACTCCTGAGCATCTCTGCCACAAAGTCAAGGTTTGCACAACAGCACCTGTGTCAGTGCCTTACTACTGCTTGTGCCTGTCAAGCCTGAGGTGCTCAGGAAAGCCCTGGGGTGCGTTCACATCACAGGAGGAGAGGAGAACAACAAAGGTTGGAATGACAGCACAGATGCTTCCTAATCTCCTGAGCTACTTTAAATCTTAATGGGGCAGCTCCCACTCTTCCCTATCTCACAGGTATCACAGAAAAGAATTAACACCTACAAGCACCTCTGGTTGATTCCTTTCAATGTACCCTGCAGCAGCACTAATTTTTGGTCCAAATTCTTCATTTCTGATAGCTGATTTTACAACCAAAACGCTGTCTGTAAGCAACAGGTTAAAAGACCCTTCTTTACAGTAAAAATCATGACAACTCAACCAAGCTACAATCACTATTTTTATACATTGCTCTGGCTCAGAGATAGAAATAGACTTGTCTGTTTCTCCTCTGTATACCTTGTTTAGGGCATTTTAATTTCAGACCCTTTAGGAATCATATAATGCTTCATAACTAAAAAAAACTAAAAAAAAAAAAGAAAAGATATAAAACACTAAATTTGATCTAAAAGAATATTTATCATTATTTCATTTATGTAAATAATTTCTCTATAAACAGTAACTCAGCAGCAATATGAGAAAAAAAATCCAAATAATAGAGTTTCCTCCAACCAGAAACCTCTTTACAATATATTTTAAAAAATTATCACCTCTGAAAATGGATTTTTAACAGAAGTGATTGTATTGGAACAGCTCACAAACCCAGGAGAAAGTCATTAGACACAGGTCCTTCTGTTAATGGACTCAGTTACCCAGCAGCTGCTCTTGCTTCTGTCTCATTGGATGAGCCCTCTCAAATATAAATGAAGTGGGAAAAAAGTTACCTGTCTGATTAAGCAAATTAGCTGATCCTTCCAAATTAGACCATCCTTCATTGTCATATGCAAATCTAAAAGGCCAGATCATAGCAGAGAAGTCTCTTTTTGGAACCTCAAAAATATAAATGGAAAAAAAGTCAAGGACAATTTTATGTATTACACCTTTGCAGTCAACAACGTCAGACACATGGTGCCATAAAAGACACACAAGAAGAGATGTTTTAACCAACATATTTTCCTAAGAAAGCTGTCAGGATCACAAAATACTTTAGGTATTTTTGAGAAAAATCTGCTATTAACAAGAAGACAAAAGTCATCATAGTGAAAATGAATTTGTACAAGTAACAGTAAATAAATGAACATGCAAGAAACTACGAATTTTATCATCTTCCTAAGAGGAACTATCCACTTTTTTTCCACATTCTAAGGTACTATAAACCTGGATGACTTCTAAGAAGAAAGCCAACTGTATATATCTGCGTGCATGTGTGAATACATACGTGCGTGCACATGCGTGCACACACACACAATTTCTACTTAGCTCTCATCACCTTTTCTGCATTTGTCATCAGTGATTTCTCTAACAAAAAAATTACCAATAGGAATACATGTCAAGAGCAAGTTTCAAAGGATTATTTCTGAACTGCCACCAAAAGAAAAAAAGTCTAACTCGTAATTGAAACAACCTGCGTCAAAAATTCAATTACATCGTAGAATGGAAAAGTTAACTTATATCTGATCAAAAGAGCTCTAATTTTGAATTAAAATTTCTAAATATGCAAGCAACACACTTGGACAACTTGTAAGTAATCTAAATGCTAAGCTTTGCAAGCATTAAGCATCTTAATTGTTACTATTATTGCAGTATCTACTTTTTTGCCAGAGAGAAAATTGGAATCTTCCGATTTTTATCCAATTTCTGTAACTAGTCTAAGCCTGATCTAAGTCAACCAACTTTTCAGAGAGGTTTACTTCAGAGTTATGCATATAAATATAGAAGCATAGAATTCCTTCAGCTGGAAGGAACCTCATGGGGTTATCTATTCAAACATCCCTGATATAAGATCAGGCTGCTAACAGCCTTGTCCAGTCAAGTTTTGAATACAATTCAAATTAACTCATTTATAAAAGTAACATTCAAATTGAATGTATGAGGCAAGCATCTCAGTTTTTCAGAATATTTACAAATTAAACTTTTTGCATTTTCATTTCTGCATTATTGTTGTGAATACTTGAATACTGGCACAAAGACTTCTTCAGCACCAACACACCTAAGGTATCACACATGCATTTTACTGTATATTTGAAAGTCACCCTTTTCGCAAACACACTACTCACCCCTTGGCCCAACTTCTTCTGGTAAGTTTTATAACGCAGACCCAATCCTAGCAAACCAACACCAACAAATAGCCACAATACTTGAAACAGAGAAACACAGAAAAGTTGTTTTTAAAGCAAGAGAAAAATAACATCGTTATTATGGTAATTAAACAGAACTGGGTACGCTGTCATTCTAGGTGTGCTATTCATAGAATGGTAACGTATGTATACATTTAAATTTCCACATATGCCAGTGGTAACGCTCT